ATTGATAGAAGGAAATCTAGATAAGATAACGAAGGATCGGCATTTGGCGGCCGACATACAAGGCGCTTTGATTGCACTGTTGAAAGAATTTGTGGATGTCTTCACCTTTTTAGCCGATGACCTCACAAGAATTGATCCTGGGGTGGCAGAGCACAGGTTGAACATTGATCCAACTATGAGACCGGTGAAACAGAAGAGGAGGCACTTTGGTGCCGAGCTAGATGTGGTTATTGTAGCGGAGGTGTAGAAGTTGTTAAAGTGGGGCATGTACGACCCATTCAATTCCCGGAGTGGTTGTCTAATTCAGTTATGGGTAGAACGAGAGAAGGAAAGTGCAGGATGTGCATAGACTTCAGGACCTCAACAAAGCTTGCCCTAAAGATCATTACCCCTTACCATGTATTGACCAGCTCGTCGACTCTACAGCTGGGTGCGAGTTGTTGAGCATGATGGACGCTTCCCAGGGGTACCACCAGATCCCTCTCGCCGAGGAGGACTAGAAGAGGGTTAGCGTTGTGACATCCAAGGGCACTTACTACTACGTCGTCATCCCTTTCGGATTGAAGAATGCACGAGCTACTTATCAACGGTTGGTGAATAAGATGTTCATTTTTGTTACTTTGACCTTTGTATCCATCACTTTTATACTCGTTGATGTTGTCGTTAATAGCGGTTTATGAAAGACCAATTGTGATCTGGGTTTTAGTCCAACCAGCTAGAAGTGGTTCAGGATACTTCTGGAACACTATGAGTGATGAGATAGGTGGAGGTGGTCGCCTAGGCATGTGGGCACCTCGGCTGCTGGGCATCTCGGCTAGAGGGCCCTGACGAGGGGACCAGAGCCTGGAGGTAGTCTTGTGCTCAAGTCATGAAGAGGTTCACAACATCAAGGACTCTTTTGACCTAACTAAGTGGTACACACGAGGAAGACTTCTTCTCCCACCAGGAGCCCTTAGCTGCCCCAACTATAAAAGGGGCACATGTTCATTCATTTACACAACACACACATACAAACTATCATCACTGACTTGAGCGTCAGAGTATTTGCGCCGGGACCACCCGTGGCGTGTTTTGCAGGTATCGACGATCAAAGAGACGTAATTCGGTTCGAGAGGAGAGCCGGTCCACACTGCTCTCTACGACTTCAGCGGAAGTGAGGTTCGCCCCTTGGCGACGTTAGCTTGCCTGTGGCATTGGGAAGGTCACCTCTGAGAAAGGTGAAGATGGTTCGCTTCCTGGTCGTGGATGCTAGATCGGCCTACAACATCATATTGGGGCGGCCTAGCTTGAATTCATTTCAGGCAGCCATTTCCACTTATTACATGAAGATTAAGTTCCCCGTAGGGAATGAAGTTGGAGAGGTGACTGGAGTCCAGCTGCAATCTCGACGGTATTATGAGGTCACATTGAAGACGGTCGAGACGCAGCATAAGAAGAGGAAGGACGACCTGCCTAAATGCTCCCACTGGGAGAAGAAATAAGGGCTGGGGATGAGCTCCCAGGACGAACTGATGGAAATTGAATTGATAGAAGGAAATCCGGATAAGATAACGAAGGGTCGGCATTTGGCGGCCGACATACAAGGCGCTTTGATTGTACTGTTGAAAGAATTTGTGGATGTCTTCGCCTTTTCAGCCGATGACCTCACAAGAATCGATCCTGGGGTGGCAGAGCACAGGTTGAACATTGATCCCACTATGAGACCGGTGAAACAGAAGAGGAGGCACTTTGGTGCCGAGCTAGATGTAGTTATTGTAGCGGAGGTGTAGAATCTGTTAAAGCGGGGCATGTACGACCCATTCAATTCCCGGAGTGGTTGTCTAATTCAGTTATGGGTAGAATGAGAGAAGGAAAGTGCAGGATGTTCGTAGACTTCAGGACCTCAACAAAGCTTGCCCTAAAGATCATTACCCCTTACCACGTATTGACCAGCTCGTCGACTCTACAGCTGGGTGCGAGTTGTTGAGCATGATGGACGCTTCCCAGGGGTACCACCAGATCCCTCTCGCCGAGGAGGACTAGAAGAGGGTTAGCTTTGTGACATCCAAGGGCACTTACTACTACGTCGTCATGCCTTTGGGATTGAAGAATGCAGGAGCTACTTATCAACGGTTGGTGAACAAGATGTTCAAAGGGCAGATAGGTCGGAATATGGAGGTTTATGTCGATGACATGCTAGTAAAAGCAAGCAGGTGGATGATCATGTGGCAGACTTGCGCGAGACCTTGGATACTTTGCGACGATACGACATAAATCTCAACTCGGCCAAGTGTAAGTTCGAGGTAAGGTCGGGAAAATTCCTGGGCTACCTAGTGACAGAGAGGGGCATAGAAGTCAACACGGATAAGGTGCGAGCCGTCATTGAGATGCAGGCACCAAAGAACTTGAGGGAGGTGCAGATCCTAACCGGACGCTTGGCATGTTCGAGCAGGTTCATAGCTCAATCTGCAGAAAAAAGTCTTTCGTTCTTCAAGGCCTTGAACAAGGGGTCGCGTTTCGAATGGACGTCGCAAGCACAACATGCATTTTAGAAGTTGAAAGAGTTTCCGACTGAGCTCCCTTTATTTACAAAACTAGAGCTGGGTGACATATTAGTTGTATACCTATCTGTAGGGCAAAAGCCTGGTAGTCTCGCCTAAGCTCGCGGCGCTTGGCGGTGACCTCTGTAGGGCGAAAGCGTGGTAGTCATGCCTAAGCTCGCGGAGCTTAGCAACGACCTGTGTAGGGCAAAAGCCTGTTAGTCTCATCTAAGCTTGTGGAGCTAGGCGACGACCTCTGTAAGGCGAAAGCTTGGTAGTCTCGCCTAAGCTTGCGAAGCTGAGCGACGACCTCTGTAGAGCGAAAGCCTGTTAGTGTCGCCCAAACTCGCAGAGTTGGGCAACAACCGTTGTTAGTCCCACTCAATCTCACAGAGCTGGGGGACGTCCTCTATGGTTGACGAGGTCATCGCGTGAAGTTGGGCATGCGAGTCTGGAAACACTCGAACGACTGCGGCTGAACGACAGGACTCAAACTGCAATGAAGCTCGTTACTGATATAACCATATTATCATAGCCCGATTCAAATGATGATTACCAGACTAAAGACTGCGGACGACTTCATTAAGTCGACATCTACGATGTCGACTTGGCCCATCGACCGTTCAAAGGCCACTGATCCGGCCACGGTCTCCAGTCGACTTTAGGAAGTCGACCGAGTACAAGACGACTTCAATGAAGAAGACAAGCAGACACTTCTAGGAGCCCTGGATACAGGTGTAACCTTAATTCGACTCGGCAAAGTCCCAAGTCGACTTATAAGACCTCCGACGACTTGATACACTTAGATGCAACATATGGAGGATCTCCAAGTGAGTTCACACAGGATGAGAAGAAATCTAGATGCTGACTCAGGAGTTGGTAGAATGCGAACCGACCAGGGCATTTCGGACACTTCGGGTAAGTCGGCCAGGGCATTTTAGGTACTTCAAGTAAGTGTTTCTACCCCTATATAAAGGGGCTGAGGTAACTTGTAACACCCCACTTTGATTTTACAGAAATTATGGACTTTTCAAAAATCAGTACAAAATTTTCGAGATCATTTTCGAAATTTAATGGGTGTTAAACAACATTTTCATAACCCAAGTCTTATCTGGG